CCAGGATATTTCTTTAGTATGAGGTAGATGAATATTTCCAGGGTTCCCTGTAAAGAGAGTTAACAGAGGAGCATTTGGCTCAGGGACTTCACAGAGACATCCTCACATGGGCATATGGGCTGATGTAGATGGATATTTTTATAATGCCCCCACAAGACTGTGGAGGATAGTGCATCCAGCCTGGTAAGATGAAGGCCCAGCAGGATTTCAGAATAGGAATGGAGAAAAACTATATACAGTATTATAAGATAATATATGATTTTGTGAAAAAATAATTGTCCCATCAGATTTTCTGATCTTTTACATATCTTTGCCATTGGATCATATTTATGTGATATATAAAGGAGTCTGAGTGAACAAATAACACCAAAATTTAGTGTTTGTTTCATACCCTCATTGCCACAAGCTTAGATTGCTGCAGTGTACTCTACATGGGGATGGCTTTGAAGACCACTTGGAAGCTACAATTGCTATAAAAAGCAGAAGCCTGCTTGTTGGCAGATGATAATCACCATGAGCTTACTACATCTGAACTTAAAGCTCCTCATGGACTGCCCATAGGCTTTCAGTTGAAAGGGCTGGTTTAACCTATAAAGCTGTATATGGTTCGGCACCAGGAATCCTTTGAGACTGTCATCTCCAGTTGGAGTTGACTTGTCTAGAGCAGTCATCAGGGGAAAATCCCTTAAAAATTTCATGAAGTGTGGGGGGAAGGGTGTTGGAGATGAAGTCAGAAGCTGCTATTATGGAATAGTCTCCCCTTAGATCTTAGGTTAGCCCCTACTGTGGTGGCTTTGTGGAAGGTGGTAAACTGAGTTTTTCCAGAGGGCTTTTGAGAATGGAATGTCATCTTGTATGTAGCCATGGAAACATGTTGTTAGTATTAGTGAAGGAATGCTTACAGATGTTCAATATTGTTAGTTAATGGTTGTATCAGTGTGTTATTTGTGGATATTTTAGTGTTATGTACTGTATGTTACTGAATTTAAGTAAGTGTTTTCTATTCTGACATATTGCATGACTTTTTCATAGGAAACTTTGGTATTGTTGGTTAACTCAGACACATCTTTTTTGAATCAGTAGGATAACTGATATGCATACTGATATGTAGAAATTCAGAAAATCCAAAAGAGGGTGAATAAGTACTGAACTTTTGGTTATATTTCAAGTTAATTAAATTATTTTAAATTTAATTGTTAAATTTAATTGTTTAATTTGTTAATACATTGTTTGAGTAAATATAATGTTCGAACTGTAATCAGTTGTAATTCCATGATTGGTTAGGAGGTTGGTCCTTTCCTTACTGAATTTACTTCACTCTGACAATAAATGGTCTGGTATGTTATCAGGGAATTTCCACCCTTTTTTTAAAATCAGGATTTCAAATGATCACAGCTGCTGTTACATAGTTTGCTGCAATATTTTCCACTGGCCTGTTTGGGTCAAATAATTTTTAAACAGGAAAAAATGATTAAGGTTATAAAAACAAAATTGTGATTGTGTAGCTTTGATCATTTTCCATGCTGAGAGATCGTGTTCCATTTTTAATGGAATTTCTTATTCTAGGACGAGTTAACACAGCTATTAAATGACAAGGCACAGTACGAATCTCTAATTTGAAGGCTCTGAGTTATGTATTTATTGGGTGGGTTGGTTGGTTCCGTGAATTATTTTGAACATCTTGATCTTCAGAAGTGGGCTCTGTAGAGCTGAGGCTATAATCACAGTTAAGTCTCTGTGGCTATAATCACAGTTAAGGTTAGTTAGGAAATCTCATGGTGAGCTGTGCGAACAAGTTTTTGATTCTCCATGATCCTCATTACTTTGTCTCATAAAATTTAAACATGCTGTTTTTGGCAAGACAGTTGAGCTCACATGTCAGTAGAGTTTCTATTGGACTCCTTTTTTTAATAAACGCTTTCAAACAGTGAGAAAAAATAGGTACATTTGGTGGTACTCTTGCATGTAGATTAGGACTTGTTCTTGCCTTTAATAACTGATGCCCTAAAGAAGGCATCCAGAGTTAATCTGATCATTTCTGTGCATAATGCATAGATATATAGAATCACCAACTGTAGCTTTTCCAAAGTTTCAACCTTTCGTTTGGCATTTCAGTGCAATGAGGTACTGTTACAGCTATATACTGTAATCCAATTTACATTTTGATAGATTTCTTATGGTTATATGTACAGTACATGATCATTATCTGCAGTCCAGATTCCATATAGTACAATACAGTTTCTGTTTCTTTGTTTTACATAAAGAATAGAACCATCCATGTTCTTCTTATACTTCATTTTTTTATAGTAAACAGTCTTCACTCTCACATGATTGATACCTTATCCACAGGAAGCATTGTTAAACTCTTAAAATTTAATGACCTAATAACATGAGAAACATGAAAGCATCAAAAAATAAAAAGCAGGAGCTGACCCATTCAATTTAAAAAAAAAAAAACTTGCCAGTGAAATTGAACATTTAAATTGGTAAAAAGGACTAAAAAATATGATTGCTTCAGTTTCATGTATGCATAATTGCAAGCTGTTTTGGGATTAATTTGGGAAAAGTTAATTATGAATTCCTTTTTAAAGTACAGTTTTTAAAGTCTTTATCATTTTTGACAATAGCTGTGGTTTTTAGAGTAAATTTACTTCACGCTATTAGAAACAAATTTGCATTAAATTTCAAATTTGGAAAGATTTATCATTATACCAGCTTACTTTTCCACTATTTGACTCAGATTTCTGGGTATGTTTGTACAGTATGTGAAGCAATATTTTCTTCCTTATGAAGCTTCTTAAATCTTTGCTACAAGGCAGCTTGTGAGTAAAAACAAAAGGTCACTTGGAAGTTTCAGGAAACCCTGGGGATATTGTTACAATGACTTAATACAAAAACATATTTTAAGAGAACAGACCTTGAGAATGAGGTCATAAGTTAATGGAATTGGAATGTAAAGTAAAGGTGTAGAATGTGAACACTGGAGAATTTAGACAGGACTTGGTTGTTATAAACCTGCAGTATGTAGATGTAATAAGTGCATTTACTTAAGCTCACCTTTTTCTTAAATGGAAGTCAAATTCTATTTTAATGAGGAAAATAGACAAAATTGTTATTTTACAGGGGGAAGTGATTTATGGAAAAGGCAGTTATCAAGTAACCTAAGGGTCATAATCCTTAGGTCCAAGGTATTGAGCTAGAAGTGACAGTATTGTAG